GCTCGTCAGTCCCTGGGCCCGCGGCAGAGGATGTCCCCAGGGGCTGTCTGAAGCGGCTCGGCTGTGATCGTTGGCCTGGGAACCACGAGCTCCTCTCTTAGGAGATGCTGAGCAACCCCTGCTAATGCCTGGAGATGGGCAGAGAGGTCTTGGAGCAGCTGGCTCTTCCCTCACGAAGAGTTTTAGCCACAGAAGGTCCCACATTAAAACTCTTCTGCTCTCCATAGCCAAAAGCTCCTTTTTAATTATTATTCTTTGGGCAAAAGTGGCCCAAATACTTGGCAACCAGAACATTTTGGTTTTGAAGGGCTGGTATGGTGCTTCATGACGTTTGTGTTTAGGTGCCTTCTGTTCCAGTGTCCCTATTCTAGGTGGATAGGGACTGGCAGGAGATGCTCCAGCCATGCTCTGGATCTTTGCTCCCTCTTTTTCCCCCCTCCCTGCTACTCTCCTAATTAGCCCTCATCCCTCCCACAGTGGCTCCTTACCCCCTTGCCAGCCCCTGCCCTTGCTCTGAGGTCTGGGCAGTGGGAGGATGCTCGCGAGGTTTAATCCAGACACATCTATTGCAGGTGCCAAGTGCGGCTTCCAAAAAATGCCCTTTCGACTGGGGAACTGGGCTGCATTTTGTGCAGGACTTGTCGTGCTTACCCACCTCTCTCTGCTCTCCCCAGCTGCCGGTCCCCATCGCGGTGTTTTTCTTGCTCTACAAGGAGCGGATGGTGCCGTGCTTCAGCAGCAGCAGCCACCCGCTGCTGTCGGCCGACGAGCTGGCGATGGAAACGCGGCCGGCGGAGAAGGAGGGTCCCTCCACCGCTGCACAGAGACCCCGGGCAGCAGGAGGTGAGCTGGGGGCACCTCTCCGGTGGGTTTGGAGGAACGGGGAGCGAGCAGGGGGAGAAAATCTGTATGTCTGAGTGTCTCCGTGGAGTTTAACAAGTGAGATCCATCACTGTCTAAGGAGGAAACTCCAAAACCTGCACGTGAACGTAATCCAGAAGTACCCGAACAACTGGTGCCCAATTGCCCCTGAATTAGATGGGATGGTAACCCTTGAGCAGAGATTGGGATCCTGCCGTTGGGATATCCCCGCTGCTTTTCTCCAAGCTGCCCCGAAATTAAACCTGGGCTCCCAAGCTGTTTAAGCACACGTGAAAAGTTGTCCCTTCCTCGTTCCCTTCTGCTTTTCCGTCAGGTTTTGAGCTGGCCCCGCCCACTGTTCAGCGTAAAAGCGGTCATTGCGCTGCCGAACGCTGATTTTTATAAATCTAAGGAATAAGGACAGCGCCCTTGTTTGAGGGGAACAATTAAACTCCAGCAATAGTTTGCTCTTGGAACTTGTGACTACACCTTCTTTTGGGGACAACGGACACGTTGTTCTTTGCTACCCAAGAGAAAGGTACCAAAGTAAATTCTTCAGCTAAATAGGGGATCTCGGGAGTAATGGTATTTTAGGGTTGTCAGAGCAGCATTCGGTGTTCCTACAGAAGAGGTGGCTTTACCTGAACAATAAAAGGAAATTTTAGGGGACGCTTGAAGGCGGAGGCGGTTTGAGGTGTGGCGAGGTGCTGCAGGGAAGGGTCAGAGCTGTCCCTAACGGCGTGGGTTCTCTGGTGTCTGGTAAGGTTATGCTCATCTGACAGCGTTTCCCTTAGCTGAGACACTGGTGGTTTCTCTCCTCCACCCAGCTGCCCATTCTCATGCAACACACTGGAGCTTCCCGTCTGTCAGATCTCCATCTTCCTCTTAAAGGCAGTTGAGGTTAATCCTTAGAGAAGCAGGAAGACTGCGATCCTTGACAGCCACCGCTGCGCTGGCAAAAATCCCTCCTTCCCCGTAGCAGTAGTGAGAATTCCGTCTTTGCCGTGCAGGAGCAACCGTCTCGCCCGCACGGGACTCTGGGTGCCCTTACCTGAACGCCAGCCCTTTGCGCATCCCAGGGTGGTGGGGTATAAGCACGAGGATGGGACAGTCGGGAATTCCTGGGGTCCTGACCCCCCCCAGCTTTAGGCTCCCGTTGGTCTCTTGAGGCAACACTAGCTGCGTGTTTATCCCCCTCTTTCCCAAAGTTGGCTGGTTTGGTTAAATCCCCTTTACCTGAGGAATGTGAGCGCTCCCAGCAGGACGCTGTGGTGGTATCGAGGACAAGGGGCTCCGAGCCCAAGCACTACAGTCGAATGGGCTTGTGTCTGTTGACTGTAGCAGCGGGGCCAGCAGCCTGTCCCTCCTAAGGAAGTGAAGAGTCCCTCCTAAGTCCCTCCTAAGTGGGAAAAGGAGCACAAGCAGCTACAGTAAGAGACGTGTCCTGGAGAATTAGGATCCCAGGCTGCGGGCAGCAGCCCATCAGCGTATTTGTCGTCCTTCAGAGAGCTGAGGGAGGTGCAGGAGGAGGTGGTGCCAGCGGAGGTTAGCAGCGCTCCGCGTTGTTCACCCTCTGTCAATCTCCGGCTTGCGGCTGAGCACAAAACAAACCAAGTCCCCACGGCGGGCTGGCAACCACCCAGCCCCAGGGGGACGTTCCGGCTAAGTTTGCTTTGCATTGTTTTTCACCAGGTCATGATGACTTATTTAGCTGCTGCCAAAGCAGAAACTTCAGAGGGGCTTCTTACACCTACTTCGCAGTCCACATCACTGGGGCTCTTGTTCTCTTCATGACTGATGGGATTGTGGTGAGTTCAGCTGATAGAGGGATCTTGTCTGAGCAAAGCTGTCCGGCTTTCTTCTTTCCCAATCCTTTGTACCAGCCCAAACCCAGCACACGTCCTCTGCGAGCAGCGGGCTGGACCTGAGGGTCTGCCAGCGCGGCACTCTGGTTCCCAAGGTGGCTCGGTCACAGCTAATCGTGGTCAGGCTCCGCGCCCTGCTTCTTGGGAGGGTTTTGTGGCTTCTCCCAGGCTCTGTGTTGCAGCAGGCAGATTGCTACTGCTACTAACCCAGCCAGCTTAGAGCTGGAGTGGTGATGCTGTCTACTTGTATGCCACGCAGGTCTGTTCTCACTTCAGCCAAGAGGCAGGAGCAGCTTCATTTTATTTCGCAAGAAACGGTGACTCTTTGTTTGACTGGTATCCTGAGCTCCCAGAATCCCCAACGGGAGCACGTGGGGATGGTGCAGGCTGTAGCGGACCGGCAGCACGTCCCTGGCCGGCGCAGTCACACGGGGTTCGCCGTGTGCAGCACTTCTGTCCGGGCGAGGAAGGCTCACTCTTGCCTGGCGAGCTGATGGGCTTTTTATTTCAACAGTTTTGTCTCAGTCCCCTCACGGTAAAATACTGCTGGGTCTAAATAGGGTCCTGAAAGACGAGCAGGGGTTACACGAAGCAGCTGTCAGATATGGGAACTTTCCAGGGCTTCCATCTTCAAGGATGATCAATACCAGGTTCTTAGCATGATATGGTGCAAGGGTATGCAATTCCAAAAGGACCAGACAGTCCCTAGGGAAGAGAGCATCTCTACTGATACGAGCCTAGCATGCTTTTTTACCTAGTACTGTTAAGCCTTGCCCTTTTAGGAGAGCTTAGAAGTTCTGCTTCCGGTGGAAGCCTGTCTCCAGCTGCAAACCCCTGGGAACAAAGTTCATTGAGGCTTGGTAGCAAATCCGTAGGTGGGCTCTGCAGCACCATCACAACATGGTGAATGTTTGAGGGACAGGTTGTAGTTAAAGCTGTAGAGGCTGTAAGTCGTCACACCAATGTGAGATGCTGCTTTGTTTTCCCCGCAGGGAGAGTACTCGGGCTTCGTGTACAGCTACGCCGTGGAAGAGCCTCTCTCGGTGGTACATAAAGTGGCCGGTTACCTGCCCAGCCTCTTCTGGGGGTTCATCACACTGGGCAGGCTCATCTCCATCCCGGTGTCCTACAGAATGAAGCCAGCAACTATGGTCTTCATCAATGTGGTAAGGCTGGGTTTACCATGGTTTTCTCCTGCTTGTGTTTCTCCACATCTCCAAGAATCATAGAATCACGGAATGGTTTGGGTTGGAAGGGACCTTAAGGACCATCTAGTTCCAACCCCCCTGCCACGGGCAGGGACACCTTGCACTAGACCAGGTTGCTCCAAGCCTCATCCAGCCTGGCCTTGGACACTTCCAGGGATGGGGCATCCACAGCTTCTCTGGGCAACCTGTCCCAGGGCCTCCCCACCCTCTGTGGGAAGAATTCCATCCTGATATCTAATCTAAACGTCCCCACTTTCAATTTAAACCCGTTACCCCTTGGCCTGTCACTACAGGCCCTTGGGAAAAGTCCCCCCAGCTTCCTTGTAGCCCCTTCAGGTACTGGAAGGTGCTCTAAGGGCTCCCCGGAGCCTTCCCTTCTCCAGGCTGAACCCCCCAACTCTCCCAGCCTGTCCCCATGGCAGAGGGGCTCCAGCCCTCGGAGCATCTTCGTGGCCTCCTCTGGCCTCGCTCCAACCAGTCTATACCCTTCTGATGCTGAGGGCTGCACATCTGGACGCAGCACTCCAGGGGGGTCTCAGGAGAGCAGAGTACAGCGTTATAGCCAACTGCAGCTTGCCCTGGATTCCTTTGGAAGCGGAACTGCTCTCGCGGACACGCACACACCATCAGGGCCTGAAGGACGAAATCGCAGGGTTGGTGTTGCAGAGCTCCCTCTGCTGATGCTCAGCGCCTGGCTGGCTGTGCCGTGGGTGACTTTGCTGTTCCTGGCACGCAGAGCGAGCGGGCTGGGGGCAAGCTGGTCTAAATTCAGCTGGCTCTTGGGCTTCGCTGCGGTGCCTGGTTTCTGAGCGGCTATTGAGCATCAGTTAATTCTTCAACGTGTTGAATAAAGCTGCTTTAGTGATCGAGACAGGGAAATACGGAAGCAGCAGTACTATTGTATTTAAAGCTGCAGTTAAAAAGCGTTTTGTCAGATACAATCTTTAGTCTCCACGTAATGACGTTGAGGCAGATGAATTGTATATAATTGTATATAATTGTATCTGGAGGGGGCTACAAGGAAGCTGGGGGGGACTTTTCCCAAGGGCCTGTAGTGACAGGACAAGGGGTAACGGGTTTAAATTGAAAGTGGGGAGGTTTAGATTGGATATCAGGAAGGAATTCTTCCCGCAGAGGGTGGGGGGGCACTGGGACAGGTTGCCAGAGAAGCTGTGGATGCCCCCTCCCTGGGAGTGTCCAAGGCCAGGCGGGATGAGGCTGGGAGCAACCTGGGCTAGTGGAAGGTGTCCCTGCCCATGGCAGGGGGTGGCACTGGGTCGGCTTTAAGGTCCCTTCCCACCCAAACCATTCCGTGATACTATGATTCAATGATATAGTCGCTTTAAATCCTGTTACAAAAAGCACCTAATTCTTACTGTAAAGGTAGATGGATTTGGCTAGTTACCTCAGTTTTTCAGAGTCTGTGATCACTTTTCAGTACAGTTTCCTTTGGTTTTCAACCAGATAAAAAAGATGATCCTATTGAACTCTGCATTTACCTTCCTACCGACTGTGTGTGTTGTTCACAGGTTGGAGTCCTGATAACCTTCCTCCTGCTCCTGATCTTCTCCTACAGCGTTGTCTTCCTGTTCGTGGGGACGGCCTCTCTGGGTCTGTTTCTCAGCAGCACTTTCCCCAGCATGCTTGCCTATACCGAGGACATCCTGCAGTACAAAGGTGAGCGGGGATTTGGGCATGCCTGGCCGGCTGTGCAAGCAGGCTGGGTGTTCAGGAGCTCAGATCCCATCACACCCAGCAACTCCTTCCCTCTTCAGGGAGGCCTGCACGGATGATCTGCTTTTGAATACCGTGTTTGTTCAAGCTTGGAGTTGGGAAACCAGACTGCACAAATCCTGGCTCCAGTGTACTAATAACTCGTGCGGGCAGGGATCCAGATTGGTTCTGAATTCTCCTGCAGCTTTAGGGCTCTCGGGGACGGACAAGGATGTCTGTTTCTCAGGCTCGCAGGGAGCGAGCTTTGAGCATCACCCAGATTATCAATGAACTGAAAATCCTAGAGTTTGGCCAGTTCTTACCGGGGGTCTCTGCCAACCTCCTTCTCTGGGGCAGTGATACAGAGGAGTGAATATTTTTCCAGCAAGAAGCAGCATCGCCTCTGCCAACAGAGACAAGTAACAGAACAGGAGATGGTTTGGGGGCTTAAACTTTTACCTTTCTGCACTGCTGCAGGTTAGAAGAGGCAGTTTCAACACGAGATGGGAACATCCGTGAGGAGTTGTAAATGTGGTACGGAACACTCCATGGAAGAGTGGTTTAACGAAGCTACAGGCGGCTGTTGGCTCTTTCACCCGCTCCCCCCCACAACAACCTGCA